TTTTAAAAATTTTATTATATTTTTGGCTATTATAAAGATAAATTATAATATTAGAAATACTCTATGCACCAACTATCTACTTTTGAAAGCTTTCAGATAGTTCTTTATATTTTGGCTTTATTGTGAAGAAATGACAAAAATAAACAGATTAAAAAATACAAATCATAAAGTTGCTAATTATATAAATCTATATAAGATATAATTTAATAATTATATAAAAATAATCTTTATAGATCTCTTCAACCATCAAATTTAATTATTCTTCTTAATATTTTATTAGAAAAGTACACATCTTTAAGTATAGTAGTCAATATAAATATTCAGAATATCAATCTGATATATAAAATATTATATAATATTATCAATTTTAAATTAATATATATATAAAATTGAAATTGCTTTATTTAATAATAAACACAATAATGTAAATATTTTTGTCATTAATTTTTGCACCTGTTAACAAAAAAATAAAAAAAATGCCATCTATTTCCAAGCATGAAGTATAAAGAATAGTGATAAGTCAGTTTTAGACAAATAATATCTGGAAACCTGCAGAGATTGTGTGAATAACAGGTTTTTCTAAATCTATTATATATGATATAATCAATCAGATTAAAAAATCATCAAGTATTATATCATTTTCCAGATCTGGAAGATTCCAAATTCTCTTAGTTGAGCAATATCACATTCTTAATCAATTAGTACAGATTAATAATACCATTACTATAGCTAAAATAACTGAAAGACTTAAACAAAAAGATCCTAACTTGAAAGTTTTCATTCATATAATTTAATATATCTTAAAAAAAATTTTTAATTTGATATTTATTATCCACTGTGAATTCTTCTTTTAGAGCTCCATCATATTGCAGCTTATCTTGAATGGGCACAGAAACATGTCTGTCAAAATTGGTCTCACATGATTTTTTTTGATGAAATAACCCTTCAAATGTTCAGAAATACTTAGCTAATAAGATACTATTATGGAATATCATGATCACATAAAAGTATAGTAAAGCATTCCCATAAGATTCATGCTTGGGATGTTTTTAGTATGCAAGGATCAATTGCACTTGTCTTGTTTACTGAAAACTTCAATGCTAAAAAATATCAAGAAATTCTTGAAACAAACCTTTTTTTCCATATTTCCATAGCAGATTGTAGATTGTGTTTTCAACAGGACAACTCTCCAATTCATAATGCAGGTGAAATAATCAATCTTTTTCATCATCATGGTGTTTGAATTCTTGATTGGCTTTCTTACTCACCAGATATCAATCCCATCAAGAATTTATGGGCCATACTTAAGGAAAAGATGGAAAAGGAGATAAATTTATAATTAATCAAAAAAAAAATTTTTAACAATGGAATTTCAAATGATAATACAAATGGAATGGGCAGGTTTAAGTGAAGTTCTCTTTCTTTGATTAGCAAGGAGTATGAAGGATCATGTTTTGGCAGTGATTGAATGGGAAGAAAAAAAAATTGACTATTAAATTTTTGTAAATAGTTAGTAGTCGTATTTGAAAATGTGCATACAAAATTTTTGCACATGTTAATAATAAAAATAAAATGTCTTACCTGTCATAATAAATTCTGGATATTTATGTCAACCACTGTATATAATGATAATATTTCCAAAGCAAAAATAAATAACGTTCTTAAAGTATCCCCTTGTAAAAAAATCTAAGAAATTTAAACTTCAATTTAATCTGACTTTTTCTAATAGAACCAATATTTGTTTCATAAATAAATAAATAAATTTAAATCCATCGTGTAATTTCTTAAAATTTAGTTACTATTCATTAGCTATGAGGTTAAAATTGAGGTTTAAATTTCTTTACAAGCGCACTTTACAAAGCGTTTTACAGTACATTTCACCACATTTATACATATTTATATGTATAATTTTTCTTTATCACTGTTCTGTCTAGGCATCATGAATTGACCCTTAATCGATTTTTTATGTCGTAGACCTCAATTTAAATTTTCTCCTACATCATACAAGTTTTTTCAATCATTTTTCGAAACTTTATGTTTATTTTTCATGTCATACTTTTCGTATACTCAACATGATTTGTGTTATACAATATGTAGTTATTTTAAGTAATCTCGAAGGAATAGTCAATATATGAAATCGTATAGAGCAATGAATCCCAGTTGAATGATGTGAGAAAAGAATCTATTTTTTAAATTGATATTAAAATAATTTACGTTTACTAATATTACAAAAAAAATGACTTTCTTTGGTTTTCGCTGGGCCATTGTTTGCGATCATATCATATTTTTATGCAATTATTAATTTAATAATAAAGCTCCTACAAGCGAAAAATCTTAAGCAGTTTGTCTTACTACAATTAATCTCTGAAAGGATCTAATAAATTTATCTTTCGAATACGACTTAAATAAGTGGTTTTTTTTTGATTATTTGCTAATTTAAATTTTATTCGTATCAGCATTTAAAAAAAATGACGCTTCAATTGAATCAATTACATGAGAATATTTATCAGATGCAAGTCTTGTCACCTCTCGCAATTCTAATAATAAAAGTCTAAACGGTGATATTAAACATTTTGAATCACATCTTCACTATCTAACTTTATTGAATACTTGATCTTAGAGATGAAAATGAAATTTTGATGTATTCTAAAATTTGGTCAAGGAAGCTTCCAACCTATCATTTGATTTTGATGAGAAATTAGATCTTGAATTTTTTTACTCTTTTCTCTTCACTCGTTGTTGAAAGATGCAATCATCTAGTGAAATTCCCAGACCATATTATAAAAATTCACTTCAAATTAATAGAAAGACTGCCATATTATACTATGAAATAAAAGTAACACTCATGACATGTTTACCGCTTCGAATACGCTAAACGCCAATAACACTAAAAAACCTAAGATACGACGAAAAAAACACGCGATCGAATCGATCCCGAAGCTTCACTATGGTTTATCAAATATTTGATAACTATTTTGAAAAACCAAATAAAAAATACAGATCATTACTTTCACAATGGACTAATATTCCCGAAGAAGACATTGATTGATGGTATAAAAGAACAAATCATAATTATCTTAAAGAAAAAGTCGACCCAAAATCTCGTAATGATTAATTGATCGTGCTCTTAAGTATGGTCAACAAATAGAAGCTCGAATAACAAAATTTAATAGCGGCAATGCTTTTTTAAATTCTATCGGTACTGACAGGAAGGAAGAATAGAGTCAAACAAGCTCGGTTAAAGGCGAATAATAGGATTTAATCCTGCTTAAGAATAGCGGGACATTTTTTATTTACTTTAATTGTAATATTGTACAAAATTTTTTTAATACATGTATTAACTTATATTCTATCACGTACTGAAGTTGTTTAGTTATGTTATCGCTATAACGACAAGAATAAAATAAACTATTCAAGAAACAATAAAAACCTCCAAAATTATGCAATGATTCTATTTTTACATTGCATATACATGTAACTAGTTTAGACAATAATCATAATTATATGTTAGACTGACATTTAGCGTTATTACTCAGTAGGATCTTTTCGGCGAGTTTTTATTTAATATTTCCGCAATTGTTTTATTGATTGTAATCCGTTGTATCCGAAAGTTAACGCCGCTAGTTTCTTCACTTAGAAAGTATTAGATGAGCGTTTGATTATTTTCATAATTGCCTATATTATATTATTTTTAAATGTACCTTGCGAGAAAATTTAATGATTATAAAACGCAGGATGTTATTTAATAATTTCATACCATTTAACTATAAGAATTTAGATTAATTGCTAATTTTTAATGCACTAATATAAAGTGCGATGAATTTTTTATAACAATACCGGTCCAGTAACTCAAAATCCCGACAAATATATCCTGACAGTTCATAAGCCCGAAAAATAACGGCATCCCGAGAGAATGACGTCTCGAACTCAGAAAAACCAATTTTGGTATTCCATGCATTGAGAATGCCATAATTCCGTTCACTCAGATTTCGTTTGTCGGGCTATGTACTATCGTCAGGATCTCGTACCAGACTCAAACAATACATTCCACATACATCTTTAATTATTCATATTCCCTTTCCTTTACATCACGAATCCGTGGTTATTAGCAACCCCCAGCATGAGAGAAGGCTACAAAGATTACCATGTCTGGAAAACTCCGGAATAAAAAAGTTAAAAAACTATTGTATATTTATGATTTTGGTAGTTTATCCAATTCTTTAACCTCGAAGTTTATGAAATACCTAAATGATATATTAGGAGAAATCTGTTCTTTAACATAAACAAGAAAGTAACTTTAAACATGTTTATTATGTCATTTCTTTGTTATTTTTCTTATAAAAGCCACGCCAGGATATCCCTTATATACATGTACAGTATATCAGAAAATAGCGAAGATAATCCAATTAATCGTGCCATTACCGTTACATAGAAGTCATAGAAATACAAAATTAAATTTTGTATAAAAATAATAATGCAATTTTGCATGTTTAATTCAGCAATAAAAAAAATAATACACGTGATATATCTATTAAAATTGATATTAAAAACATAACTACAAATAATTTTCATAAAAGAATTTTCACAAAATAAACACATAATTTTATAGCGCATATCAAAGGCTATTTAATACCATATATGTTTTTAGCTATATATTTAAAATAAAATTCCTTTACAGTTTAAATATTGATTAAATTTAGCTATCACTATTCACGTTTTAAAGAAAATTAAATTAATAAGATTTTAAATAAAAGACTAAATCGAATTATGCTCAATTATATATGATAGAATATCATAATACTAATAGATATATTAAGTTTTGTATAAATGTTCTTGTAGAGAACGCAATAGGTTCTTGATAAGACAAATATCTGAATTCGTTAGCTGCTACTTGTGTTGCTTGATGTGGTTGGAAAGGTTAAGCTCAGATTCTTTGTCTTTGGATTCCACTGCTACTGTTCATATCCTCATAACAGTCCCTTTTACATATCAGTACCTCATTATTCATAGAATAAGATATTATTTCTGGTAGCAAGATTTGGAAGTTCAGATTCTTTATCTTTAATTCCTTTCCTTTTACATAATGGTGCAATCTTATGTTCCGTAAAATTAAATATTATTCCAGATTCAGTGGTTGGTGCTTGTGATGGTTGTTGTAATTGGCAAGCACTGAAGCCAGATTCATTTGCTAATAGTTGCTGTAGTTGCGATTGAAAAATGTAGAAGCCAGATTCGTTGCTAATAGTTGCTGTGACTGTGATTAGAAAACATTGAAGTCAAATTTTTTTGCTGATAATTGTTGTAATTATAATTGAAAAGTACAAAAGCCAGATTTATTTGCTAATAATTACTATAATTATATTATAAAGCATTTAACTCAGATTTATTTATTAATAGTTATTTAGAAATATTAAATAATTAATTATTAATAAATATTGAGTTTTATTTAAAATTAGTATATTTTAACAATAAGTTATATTATCTTTACAAATATAATAATTAATTAATAAAATAATTAATAATATTTTATTCTTATTCTTTTTTTGAATTAAAAATCAAAATCATACTTTTAAAACAAGATTTAATTTAATAAGTTTGTAAATAATATTAAAAATTTTATTTTATAAGCTTCTTTCTTAGATATTATTATATTAGCTTATTGATTAATATTTATATATTTATTTAAAAATTTTAATAAATTTATTATTAATATTAATAGAATAATATATCTCTAATAATAGAATTTATAAGTTTAAAATTAAGCTTTTTTAATTATATTATATTTAATTTCTTTTTATTTTATATTTAAATAGATAAAAATAAGATAAGTAATATATTTTATATTAAATATTTATTTATATTTTTATAAATCTCAAGATATAATTAGATCTTTTTATAATTATCATACTTGAAAAAGCAAAATTAAATGATTAAAAAGAAATATAACTATAAAAAGATTTTTTTAATTATAGTTAATTATTAACTGGAAAACTTAAAGAAAATAATTATAAAAAAAGATAATTATAAAGAGATCTGACTAGATTTTTATTTTTGATAAAAATAAATTAATATATATATAATTACAGTGGCAATCAAAAATAATGCAACACTTAATTTTTTACTAATTATAATTAGTAAAATATGTATTTTTCCTTACATATAAAAGTTTTTAATTTTACTAACAAATAT